GGAAAGAGAGGGAGCTGTTTCTCTGCTGCATGGTGAGGATACCTTTGTTCCAGAGGTTTTGGTGAGGGAGGAGCCATGAAGGGCGAGTGCGTGGGTGTTTGTGGGTGGATGCGAGCGTGTGTGTACATGTAGGAAGGCGAGGGTCCACATGTGCAGCAGGGAGCTGAGCTGTACACAGGGGGTGGAAAGGGGAGAAAACAACAGAGGAATTTCCGTCCTCCTGTACTTGTGGTAGAGAGGGTTAATAGGATGGAAGGAGTCACTGCGGGAGAGCCAGTGACTCCCCCTACTTTGCCCATGTTGGGGGTGTTACAGGAGAAGGGAGGAAATGTAAAAGGAGGATGAAACAGCTGCTTTTGAGCAGGGATTGTTGCAGTCCAATCTGGCCAGAGCTTCCCTGGGCTGCCTCCAAGGCAGAGTGTGTGATGAGGGAGGGGGAAGATTGTTGAGCACACAAGGTGGCATCAGGCTTGCATTACACTTCAAAGCATGGCTGGCACAGGGTTGTTGGGCAGCATTCTCAAAACTCCCACCTTTGAGCACTCAGCCATACAAGCCAAATCCTCCTACAAATGTGGCTGCCCTGGCAAAACGTTGCTGGCACAGCCAGCTCCCTTTAGGGAGCCGAGGCAATATTACCCTGGCAAAAGCGTCTGTACTGGTGTGAACTGCTGCCCAGATGGGCAGTGCCACCAGTCAAGGCTTTGTCTGCTGGCTCCCCACGGGTCACCGTTCAGCTCAGACGAGGCATTAAATGCGAAGTCCTGCTTGCTGCGCACTGCGGGCTGTTCTTGCAGTCAGACAAGAAAAAGGCAAAGGCCTGAGTTGATGAGGTCCTCCACGAAGAATGTTTGCTTGGTTGTCAGCAACTTAGGCACGCAGATCGAAAGGCAGGGTGGAAACAAGAGCAATGTCCTTCCCTGCTACCTGTTCCCTTTGGAAAGGCAGAGGAGGCCAGATGTAAGGCAGGGAGATGCAAATGGAGGTAATGTCATGCTTAGAATAAGCCAGGCAGGAAAACCTGAGGGAATGAGCCACTGCAATAGCTTTGATGGGACAGAGAGGAACTCCACCTTTACTGTCAGTCTCTGAGTTTTCATGCACTCCAGAAAATTTACTAGCTTTCAGCAGTACTGTCAGCTGCTGCTATCCCTACCAGCAGCAGGCAGGAGTAGACAAAACAACTGATCACAAAACCCCACTTCTGTCAGTTGGCAAGGCTCCAGTAGCAAGCAGTATTGCTCTAACCCTTCCCCCTCTCATTTCTTAAAGGGGAAACTGAGGCACGGGCAGATGTGGGAGATCTGCAGTGGGTCTCACTGCATGTCAGTGCTGGAGCCCGACTAGGAATTCATGAGCACAACAGCGAATTTCTTGGTCTTCTTCCCACTGCGGCTGGGAGGCATGTTCGCTCCATGTTCATTGAGCTCCAGGCTGACAGGCAGCCTGAGAATATCTCCAGGCCTCCCAGCCCCCCTTTCTCCCTTCCCCCCAGCTTGCAGCGCATATTTTCCCAGAGTTTTCCGCTTGCTTCTCCAGTAGTGTTGGGGTCCTGCCAAATGCAAGCCACTCTCTGGGAAGCAGGGCCTCCCATTCCCAAACCAAACAAATGGGAGAAGGAAAACAAGAAAAAAAATACCAAAAAACCACCACCACGTCCAAGCACATGTAGACACACAGAAAACCCTTTCCCCCTCAGAAACCTTGGAGCCTTCTCTTGGAAACTGCAGGAGGCACAGTGCTGACTTGGCACTTCTGGCCCCTGCAGAAAAGAGCTATTATCCATCCTTCCTTCAGCCTCCCAAGGATACATATGTGCACCCTCCCAGGGTATAACTTCCCAAATCCAGTTTCGCTGCAGTCTAGGACCCCCAAACTCCTCTTCCCAACAGATTCTGCAGTGTAAGAAAAGTCTCCTTTTCGTCCCCCCTCACACTCCTCCCCCCAAAATGCCCTTCATTCCCAGATTCTGGTGCAGCCACGTAGTGCTCACCCCAACAGCAGAAGCACGTCAGCTCGGCGCCAGGCTGGGGGCAAAGATCACGACCAGGGCTTGCTCCGGAGCCTTGGCTTTGCTGGCAGGCAGCCCCCCGCAGCAAGGCTGTGCTTTGGGCTAGGCACACCCCTCCCGTGCAAACTGCCCAGCCCGGGACCTGACCCAGGGGGACATGACCGGAGGATGACACGCACTGGTGTGCAAGGCTTGGGGCTCTGCCCAGGGAGAGGGGATGACCAGAGAGGGAAAAAGCTGATGCCTCTCCCAGTTGGCGGATGAGCCTGCTGGAAATATCATGCCTGGGGCGAGAAGCCGCAGTGACGTGCAGGAGAAATAATGCAGGAGAGCGTGGAAGATGAAAGAATTTGGGGGCTGTGAGTGGGACAGATGTGGCTGGGAGAGGGCAAGGTTGGCTTGGTTAAGGGCTAATGCATGGGAGAGGGGACTAATGCAAGGGAGCGAGGACAGCATCCTACCTGAAGGAAAGTCCGTCTCTTGCACCGATGCACCCCGCCTTGCCCACCCTGAGGTGCTGAGGGTGGGACACAGCCCTGTTGCCTACCCACTCTTTGCACGGGGTGTGATCTGTGCCATCTGCATTTTTCTGACTAGGGCTAGGCTGATCAGAAGCAAAGAAAATCCAAACCCATACATAAGGAAAAGTAACTACCTAGGAAAGAGTTAAAAGGCACCGAGGAAGCTGGTTTGCAATGGAGAGCGCCCAAAGTCAGGGAGGGAATGGGAGGGAGAAGGGAGGGAGCAGGTCCAAGCCCAGCTTGCACACCCAGCCAGCACTCAGCAGCGCCTGTGCCAAGAGCCAGCTTTCTTAAAGCCATGGGCCCGGGGGCCGGCTTTGCAGGCGGAGGGAAGCCCTGGGAGCAGGGGCTGGGAAGCACAGAGGGGATCCCTGAGCCTCCGGGGTGAGCTGCCATGCTGCGCTGGGGTGCAGGCAGAGGGAAGGGGGGCAGAAGCTGGGAGAGGGGCTTTCTCTGCTTGTTTGCATGTCCGTCTTTCGTAAGCATACTTCAAAATGCTCGTAAGCCTGCTCCGAGCTTTGCTTCCTACCCTTTTGCTGCTCTCTGAGGAGCAGGCCATCCCTTTGGGAAGGTGCTGGAGTCTGGCTGAGAACAGAGCTGAGCATCAGTGGGAGGGGGCTGAGGCACAGAGAGGGTTGGAATTTGGGGTAGGGAGAGGATAGGGGCTGAAGTTAAATTCTGAGTCCACAGATGTGTGTCTGACTCCGGCTGGCATGGGGGCTGTTGGGTTAACTCCTGTGAAGAGTCGATACCTAGTGACTGGAGGACTGGAGGGTTTTTCACAGTCCCCCCCCCCCCGCCCTCCCAATTCAGCAGCCTACTGGACCATGCATTTGCTAAAGAGGCTGTGTGGTTTGCCATGTCTCCTTCCTCTACCCCAGCCTGGAGACTGAATGTCACAGTGGCTCCAGCGGTTTGTCTAGCGAAGGTCAAACCTTCCTCCAGGGTTAGCAACCAGTCTCCACCGGTTTGGGCAGAAGGGTGTGGGGCATCCTCTTGGGCCATGTGGTTGCAACTCAGATTGCAGCCTTGAACGTCCAAGGACTTCAAGCATGTACACTCTCTCCGCAGGACAATGCCATTTTGTCCCACCCCTGGCTCCAGCCAGAGAGAGATGTTTTGTGGTGATCTCTGCTCCATCCCCCATGTCCCTTCTTATACCTCACTTTGGTGCTTCCTCCTATCTTCCCAGGTCACCATGGACATAATTTACCTGCGCACACCCCTGGCCTTCCTTCTTCTCCCTTTTGTTGTGCTCGGGGCACCCACTGATGAACCCAACCTCACAGAACCAGCCCCTGGTGCTTGCAAGCGCTGTTGTGACCCCCTGGACTCTTCCCCTGATGCCCCACCGCTCCCTCCCAGCCACCACCACTTGCCCTACCCAATGCCAGAGGTCCGTCCCTACATCAACATCACTATACTGAAGGGTAAGTGCCCATCTTGGCCCTGGGATGCCAAGGCCTGCTCAGGGACCTGGGGCACTACGGTGGAAGTGACAGAAGGGTTGCTGGTTGTTCTAACCGGCTGCCAGATGCCATCCCAAAGAGTTTGTGCCCAAACACAGTGTTCCCGGAGTCTAGATGTTTTGTGCTGTGACCAAGAGTAGCCTGGGGAGATGAAAGTCAGTGCATATTTGCGCTGTGACCTCTGTATCTCGGGATGCTGGCTGCTACCAGCTCTTCCTCCCTGCTAGCACAGGAGTGGCAGTGGCAGCCTCTTGCCAGGCTGGGAGGACACCTTCCTTGCCTCAGACTTCCAGAGTCTTGTAGTGCCTTAGGGAAGGAGCAGTCTCTATGCAGCTGCAAAATAAGCAGGTTTGGAGGGTCGCATTGGCACCCAGGAAGGCTGTGGGGAAACCTTCTCCAGCTCCACGAGTCACATGCATTTCAGATCAGGAGGAGTGCAAGGGGAGGCAGCAGCTCCAGGCTGACAGTGACCTCCTGCTCGTTCCACCCTACTGTGGCTGGCTTGGCTAACGGGAAAAGGCTCCCTATTTTAGATCAGCTCCTCCCTCCAGGGCTCCCCTTTTAGCCTTTGCTGTGGGCAAAAGCTTGTTCCCAGCTGGATCTTGCTCCACTCACTGTTGCTCTGTAGTTCCTTTGGACTAGATGGGCAGATGTTCCTCCATCCCTGCCCAGCCTGGAAATAGCTGCAATCCATCAGAGGCAGGAAGCTGCAGATAGTTGCAGGGGACCTCTGCATCAGCCATTTTGCAAAAACACACAGGTGATAGACAGGAGGAAAGGAGCAAGGCACAAATATGGAACAGTGCCACATGTGCTGGAGGCAGCTCTGACTCCCATCTTCTCTTTATACAGAAGGTACGTTCTGGTGCTGTTCTCTCCGTGTACTGATGCCTGCCCAAGTGTGTGACAGGCAATGCACAAACCTCAGGGTAGAAATGCAGTGTTAATTATACAGGATGCCCAAAGGATGCTGGTATTGTCAACGTACCAACCCTCTAACTCGCACTGCACCATCCACCAAGCCCAGCTTGGATCTTTTCCCTCTGACCTTTTCCCCTTGTCTCTCATTAGTCATATTAGCCCACAGGAATTAACACTTCTTCCTCTTTTCCAGCCTACAGCAAGAACAGTGTTCTACATGGATACCTGGGTCATGGGAGAGGTGTGCAGGTGGACAGGGACTGTGATGGAGGTAGAGGTGTGTGGTGGAGGAAGAAGAGGTCAAGAGCCCCAGCGGTACTTTGTGCGGCTGGGCTCCATCTGAGGCTGAAGGGATAGGTCCTAGTGCCTCCAGCAAGGCCATGTCAGGTGGTGGGCAGGGGATTCGTAAGACAAGAGTCCCCAGTTGCACACAGAGCTATGCTAGTTCCTTTCCCATGAAGCACAATGATATTGTGACCCTCAGGAGTGTTCCTTCTTCTGGCATTGCCCCATCCTTGAGCAGTCATCTGCCTCCTCATTGGGCTTTCTCACTGCCACTTCCACCCCTCTGTCTGGTATCACATAGGAATTATCCTCTGCTTCCTCTTGTAGGCGAGAAAGGAGACCGGGGAGAGCCTGGGATGCCAGGGAAATGGGGCAAAGAAGGACCACGAGGTGAGCGTGGTGCTCAGGGCCAGAAAGGCAGTAAAGGACAGATGGGCACCGCGGGAGACCCCTGCAAGCATCAGTATGCTGCATTCTCTGTTGGTCGCAAGAAAGCACTGCACAGCAGCGAGGGATTCCAGGTCTTGATCTTCGACACTGTCTTCGTCAACCTCTACAGCCACTTCGACATGTTCAATGGCAAATTCTATTGCTACGTAAGTGGACTTTACTATTTCAGCCTCAACGTCCATACCTGGAACTTCAAGGAGACCTACATGCACATCATGCACAACGAAGAAGAGGCAGTCATCTTGTACGCCCAACCCAGTGACCGCAGCATCATGCAGAGCCAGAGCCTCATGCTGGAGCTTCAGGAAAATGATGAGATCTGGGTGAGGCTCTACAAGCGGGAGCGGGAGAATGCCATTTACAGCGATGATGTTGATGTGTATATCACCTTCAATGGGTACTTGGTCAAGCCCAGCCTTGAATAACTTCCTCTCCTCCTCCCTGAGGCCTCTTTGGCCTTTTCTTTCTTCCTCTCTCCCTTTTACTGCCCGCAACCACTGCAAATCACTTGGAAATGGGCCTGTCAAGTCTCAGGCACTGAGTGTGAAACTTGCCACACTGGCTTCCACCTCACGCTCTCTTGTAGCCAGGCCTGTGTCTGTCCACTTAAGGTGTGACACTACCATCTCTCGCCCCCTCACCGCATGACCTCAGCTTAGGTTAATGGCTTCTTCAAAACCTGCCAGCAAACTATGTCTGGTAATTAGGGTTCTAGAGCAGGAGAAAGGCTAAAATGCTGCCCCTGGGGATGTGTCCCTCCTTGGGGCTTCAAACACAAAGGACTCCTATTAAAAAGGGCTAGAAATTTCCCGCTGCCCAGGTACATCCTGGCTTCTCTCCATCCTGACAAGAGAGGCCAGTTTTTGCAGCCTGCAACATGTCCTCAATGTGACCTCTCACACCTGTAATCTGGAGAGCAGACTGGGGTCTGATGGCTTGTAGCACAAGGAAGTTGTAGCAGCAGTGAGAGATGACACTGTGTTTCCAAAAAGGGGACTGTTGTCCTTCTGAGGGATTTAACTGGCTCTCCTTAGACACTCTTCTGCATCACCGAGTCCAGGCTGGCTGTAAAATCTAGGCCCGGTGGGATTGTCCTCCTCTGTGCCAGCTCAAGCTCTTCAGAGACATGAAGGGCCAAACATTCAGCTGGACCCTTCAAAGGCATCTGCCATTGAATCAGGAGAGCCCCCCACTCTATTCCCACTGGGGATCATAAATACAGAATGAGAGAGAGAAACCTATCAAACCTCCCTTCCAAATATCCTCTGGGATGCTACTCTGACTTGGTTCCCCAACTTTGGGAAGCCAGTCCAGACAGTGAACCCCAGTCTGCTCTCCTTTGTCAGAGGTGCACTCATGCCCTTCTGTTGGTAGCAGCAGTCATCCCTAACACTTGCTGATGTGAGGGGAGAGCCAGGCCCTGGCTCCTGCATGCATTTACCTTGTCCTCCTGAAGGTGGTTCTCCCACGCTGGCATTGAAGGACCGCTGGTTCAGGACCTGAGCTGGAGGCTGTAAACGTAATTGCCGTTAAATCGGTTCCAAACCTGGGCAAGTTGGCACCTCTTTGCCTCTGTGATGGAAAAGAGATGGAGGTGAGACTACAGCACCTCACCCCAGGGTTAAAAGCTTCTCTGCCACATGCTCTGTGCCCTTTTCTGGCAATCCCATCAGAGCAACCAGTTAAAGCATGTGGCTAAAACAAACACTTGCTGTTCTTGTCAGGTTGCAGATATCACAGGGAGAAAGGAATGCCAGCGGTAGGATTTTCTAGTACCATTTGTACTGGTCTCACACTGCTCTCACTCACATCCCCCTGGCATTGCTACGGTCCTGGGGGGAGCGGGTGAGGCTGACTCAGCACTTTGGGAAACCTACTTCCACACATTGTGATGCTCCCAACAAACAGCAGTGCCAAGAGTTATCTCTTTTTTGAGTCTCAGGATAGGAAAGGCAGGAGAAACTGTATTTCCTCTCTGCCCATCACTGATAATGAAGTCTTCTGACTTACCTAGCTTCTTGTGATTAGCCATGGTCCCTGCCTATAGCTCCTGGGCCTACCAGAGCTCTCCCGTAGGAGAGAGGTATAGAGAACTAGGTCCAGTACACTCAGCTCGGGATAGCAAAGGCACAGAGACCCAGGCTAAATATTAAAAGTGAGCTTGAGAGAACTGCAGGACATTTTCTCTCTTGCTCTGTTTACTTACCCTTCCTGCTTTGCTAAGGAAGCTGTTCAGACTGGAATGAGTTTCAGGCACTTTCTGCCCTGGATCCTCCCCCACCACTGTCACCAAGGGAATGGGTATAAAAACACGGTTTCACTGAAGCAAAGTTGGGTTTTTCCCAGGGAAACATGTGATGATGGGATTGTGGGAATTAAAGGAGGCTGTGAGTTTCTTCAAGCATGTGGAATTGCTCAGAGAGAGGAAGCAGCATGCTGGAGGTGATGCTCAGGACTGAATCCCTTTCTCTCTTCCTTAACAGGCTGCAAACACAAATATTGCCTATTTCCAGTATATAGTGCTCCTGTGTCTCCCTGAAGGGAAGCAAAGCTCTCTAACACTGAATATCTCCAAAACCAAGCTTCCTTCTTCCTCCTTTTCTAGCTGGTGTTGGAATGCCAGTGATGGGTCTCATGTGCTACCCATTAGCAGCCAGATGGTGCCTGATGCACATGAGAGCAGAGGGCAGGGGGACCAAAGGCTGTGCTTAACAGGCTTCTTGGTGCTAAACAAGATGGCAATGCCTTGGTGCTAAATCAGATTTTTGGAGTATTGGGTGCTTTCTGGGAAGTGTAGCAGGCTGGGTTGTAATGTACTGTGGAATTAATGGTGCTTTATGTTACTAAACCAAATGAACTCCAAGAACTTTTGTATATATATTTTTTTTTTTTCAGTGATATTAAACTTTTTTCCTTGGTTGTTTTGCACTTAGGATATGCTTTTCCCTCTCAACCTATTCCTTCTAGCTCTGGTTATCACCGAATACTGTGATGGAAAAGACACTGACCTGAAAGAGTCAGCTACAGAGTCTAACTAAGCTCTGAAACTTCCCTGGGCAATCTTTGGCAATCTCACCTGGAGTACTGTGTCCAGTTCTGGGCTCCTCACTTCAAGAAGGACAAGGAACTACTAGAGAGGGTCCAGCGCAGGGCCACTAAGATGCTTGAGGGCCTGGAGCACCTTCCGTTTGAGGAAAGGCTGAGAGAGCTGGGTCTGCGTAGCTTGGAGAAGAGGAGGCTGAGGAGGGATCTTATCAATGCTTATCAATATCTAAAGGGTGGGTGTCAGGAAGATGGGGCCAGGCTCTTCTCAGTGGTGTCCAGTGACAGGA